TTCTTGACCAACAATGTGTCGGTATTGAAAAAATTACTCACCCCTATAACATCCCGTTTACACCCTGTAGGGCAGGTCAACCTTGATATTATCGACATACTCACTACACCCCACTGTTCCACGGTATAAGTCTTATTGATAAACATCGTACGACACAAAAAGAAACACCGCCCTTTGTACCAGGCTAAAATTTTATGAGAGTAAAGGGCCGTAGACCCGTTATTGAAGGAGATGGGGCAAAATGGTCTAAAGCAATATTGTTCCCCTTGGAACGCTGTACAACTTTGTTGAACATACCTAAGTGATAGCCCCTGCCCCAGCCCCAGAAAATGGGTATAATATGATTTTTTTACCCAAAAAATAACATTTTTTCATATAACGGTATTTTTAATTTACTATGAACAAATGGGAATGTTATGTATACCTTTGGATAGGTATTCACGAGGACTACAATTTTGACCCAAGGAGTGTTGCCCTACCTCCCATAGTTAGGGATCTATGGCCTTCGAAAGTAATACCTTAATTTTGGGGTTACCTACATATCCCCAATTTTAACCCCCTTTCTCACATTTTTGGGGCTGGGTATCTATATATAATTTATCTACACACAATACCCTTTAAGATGATATGCGTTAGAACTCTGTACAAAATGGCCCAGAATGGGACACGGTTCTTTTAGGTTATAATTTTCAAAACATCAAAGGGTACATGATTTTGTACCCTAGAACGGATATCCGTTGTCCGTTTCCGTTAAACTCAATTGGGCAAATAGGTTATATCCCACGAAAGTTGCGCCTGGTCTCATAGATTTCATTGGCACATAGTGTTTGCCTCCCATAAGTTTGAAGGGCAGAGGTAAAACAGTGAAAAAGTACAAAAACCACCCCAAAGTGGGTAAACCTCACTCCTCAACCCCAACTCAATTGCATTTTTGGATTCCTCGTCGAAAATGAGCCATACCTCCCGAACATCAGTTTCTAATAAAACCTCTCACTGTGGCTCAAATCATCTCTGAATGTGCAGTGGGAAAAGTTATTATTTTTCTTTACATTTATACGGATATTCTGCGTTTTTTCGGTTTTTCTCTCATAATTCGTACCCCATATGCGGTATATGGAGCAGAACTTTGTTCAGCAAAGTTTTGGATCTCTTAAAACCTACAATCGGACTTTTCGCCAGATTCACATACAAAATAAGAAAGATAAATATTTGATTTTCATTATGTTTATTTTTTTACATTTATCGTTTCTAACAGTTACATTTTTATGCCTTACAAATTAACATAAAATGTTGCATATGGAAAACAACTCGAAAAAATGAAAATGGTACGTAATGAGTACGTTTTCAATAATTAATCGTTCAAAAATGATATTAATTAAATTTTGAGAAAGAAAAAGTTCCATCATCCTCTTTCTTCATGTCAATTCAAGTTTAATTCTTTGAAGGTTTATTTTTAAAACGTAAGTATTAAAGTAAGTATTCTTAAAGAAAATATAAAGTTTTAAGATAATTATATTTAAAATAGACTTAGCCTTGCATGTTCAGAGCTTTGAATTGTTCTTCATCCACTTCGGTGACCATGAAAGTGCCATCTGGCAACTGAAGCACAACGCGTCGCGTTCCTCCTGCACAAAAAAA